TCCCAGCTACTTGGGAGGCTGAGGCAGGAGACTCGCTTGAGCCCAGGAGTTGGAGGTTGCTGTGAGCAGTGAAGCCATGGTACTCTACCCAGGGGGATAGCTTGAGGCTCTGTCTCAAAAAAAGAAAAAAAACATGACATGTCATTTCTCTCTTACTGCTTTCAAGATTTTTCATTTATCTTTGGTTTGTTATCCATAATAACATTTTTATTATGATATTGGGTGTGGATCTCTTTGCATTTATGCTACTAAGAGTTTGCTGAGTTTCTCAAATGTGTGGATGAGTGTTTTGTACCAAATTTGGGGGCTTTTCAGTCTTCTTTTCTTTCTCTTTTTTTTTTTAGGCAGTCTCACTTTGTCGCCCTAGGTCCAGGGCCATGGTATCATAGTTCACAGCAACCTCAAACTCTTGGGCTCAAAAGATTCTCTTGCCTCAGCCTCCCAAGTGGCTGGGACTACAGGCATCCACCACAATGTCCAGCTATTTTAGAGATGAAGTCTCGCTCTGGCTCAGGCTGGTCTCAAAGCCAAGAGTTCAGGCACAGTCACCCGCCTCAGCCTCCCAGAGTGCTAGGATTACAGGCATAAGCCCAGCCTGATTATTTTCTTGAATATTTTCTTCTATCCTTTTCTTTCTCTCCTTTCCTTCCATTATATGTATGTTTATCTACTTGACGGTGTCCCACATTTCTCTGAGATTCTGTTCATTTTTCTTCATTCTTTTTTCTCTCTGTTCTTCAGATTACATAATCTCTACTGATCTCTAACTTTGCTAATTCTTTCCTTTGCCAGCTAAAATCTATTAAGTTTGGGGGATTTTTGTTTATTTTGTTTTTTGTTGCCCTGAGTTGAATATTGTGGTGTCATCATAGCTCACAGCAATCTCAAACTTCTGGCTCTTGCCTTAGCCTCCTGAGTAGCTGAGACTACAGGTGCCCATCATGACATCTGGCTAGGTTTCTTTCTATTTTTAGTAGAGACAGGGTCTCACTGTGGCTCAGGCTGGTCTTACACTCCTGAGCTCAAGTGATATACCTGCCTTGGCCTCCCAGAGTGCTAAGATTACAGGAATGAGCCACTGTGCCAGGCTTCAAATCTACTGTTGAGCCCCTCAAGTGAATTTTTCATTTTGTTTGTTTTCCCTTTTTTTTTATGATAGAGTCTTACTGTCTTTTTGGGTAGAGTGCTATGGCATCCTAGCTCACAGCAACTTCAAAGTCTTGGGCCTGAGCAAACCTCTTACCTCAGTCTCCCAAGTAGCTGTAGCTGGTACTACAGGAGTACACCACCATGCCTGGCTAGTTTTTTTATTTTTATTTATTTATTTATTTTCTTTTTTTTTGAGACAGAGCTTCAAGCTGTCCCCCTGGGTAGAGTGCTGTCGCATCATAGCTCACAGCAACCTCCAACTCCTGGGCTCAAGCGAGTCTCCTGCCTCTGC